ACGTAAACAGCATATTACAAATTTAGGAATCTGTAATCCTGCACTGACATCGGTAACTTGCCCTAGCTCATAGGAATGTAAAAAAAAAAAAAAAAAGAAACAGAAAGAAATTAGTAACTAACTGTGAAATGCAGATCAATTCATTTGAAATACAATAATGCTCAAATTATCTTTAAAAATTAACATAATGATTTTACATATTTCCCTTGGCTTATAATTTAAACAGAAATACTCTATTAGGCTTTTGAGAGTATAAAAGCCTAAAGGGTGAGTAACTCTCTTACTACAAACAAGATCAGGAATCTCTTTCCCTACAGGAAATTCTCTCATTACCTCACATCACCACCTACTCAATTCTTGATCCCTTACAATGTGATTCCTACTGCAACCAACTGGATAATCGATTCTCTTGAAAGATCCATTGCCTTTTGCCTCTTACAAGCATTTGACACCTCTGACATGCTCTTCTCCAGGATACACCCCCATGCCTTTCTTCATACTTCTTGGATAGTTTCTTACCTGGCTTTTTTGTAGGGACTTTCACCTCCTCATTTCCCTTATAGGTGAAAATCTCAGGTCTGTCCTTGAAAGTCTTTACTTTTCCCAAGGCTCCTTATATACATGCACTCCAAAAGTATACCTCTATCTCCAACCAGTACTAATGAGATAACTGTTTCACTGTCCTAAAGACTCAAAAGTTCAGGATCATCTTTGATCACTTTCCCTTGCCCAGCACATTTCAATCAATTGGCAAAAGCCAATCAATCAATTAATAGGTACTGCGTATGCCAGGCAGGGGGAATAAAGTATGAAAAAAACAGATGTTATCAATGCCCCCTGGAACTTACTCTAGCAGAAAAGTACGAAATCATTAGTCAATCTTAATTAATAGTTAAATAATTAATTACTCATGTACAAAGCACACCGATCAAGTACCAAAAATTTACTTCATCATTCTCTCTTAATTCCACCACCTTCTTTCCATTCCCACTGCCACCATTCTAACAAAGGTTAACACACTGTTTTCACCATTTCTCACTACTTCTCACAACATGCTCCAGTTTCCCCAAGCAATATGACTGCTGTTTTTGCTAGAGCTACTATTATGTTTATGACAGCAGAATTCAACTGTCATTTCAAACTGTAACTCAAGATCTATCTCAAATGCTACCCCTTCAGGAAAGAAGACATTCTGTCTTTCTCAAATTCATATCCATAATATGGTCTAGGAAATAGAGCATTTTACATAGTAGGCACTCAGAGTATTTTAACTGATTTATTAAATCAATAAAGCAAAGTATCATAAAATATATCCTACCCTGAAGTGTTTGCATCATTTCTAGAAGTACAGGAGTAAGGGTCTGATTATATTCATGGAATATATCTATAAAAAGGACTTCAGTGCACGGCTGGAAGGAGAAAAGAGACAAATTTCTATTAAAAACAATGCTATACTGTATCTACTAGTTTTACAATAAAGCAAAGAATATTCATTCTTAAAATCCTAAAGCTTTGAAAATATTTCCAATTTTTTACTTTTTATAAAAGATTACTATTTTCTATAACAAATATAATGGAAAGTAAAATCAATTTATAATAATTTAATTCATAACATATAGAAAGTTTATTTCCTTATTTCAGTCATTTGGCATTATGCATTCAAAAACTTACAACTATAGAGAGCACAGTCTGTTTTTTAAAATTAATCATACTTTAAATTTATATGAACATTCTGTAGCCATATTCATTGTTCAAGCCTATAAATAACTACCCAAGATTTAATATGTTAAAAATTACATATTTTCTTAGCGATGAAATAATAAGCAACAGTTCATGAAATCAATTCACCATATAAAGTACTATTTCTCTTAACAAACACAAACAGTAACAGATATCAGCATTTGCTACATAAAAAAATGATTTGCTTTATTTCTTAAAAGTACTGAATTGCTAAATGATTCGTAATATAAAGGAATAACTAAAGATATTGTGCGTTATGTTTTAAAAAGAAACCTATACATACAAAAATATGTACAGATGATATGTCATCCCAGATATTTGCTTCAAAATAATGCAAGTTGAAGGGGTGACATGCTTATATGAGACTAGACTAACCATGAGTTGATAAGTGATAAATGAGACTATCATGAAGAGTTAATGATATTATTTTCTCTATTTTTTAGTATGTTTGAACTTCTCCATAAGAGAAAGTTTTAAAACTTAAAGGAATGAAATTTTTTCAAGTTTTAAAAATCACCAGTAAAATGGCAGAAATACTCTCTAGGGATTAGGAGGATGGGGGGGCAAATCTACAACTAAAGGACACGGGGAGCACCAAAGGGAGGGAAGGGCATGCCTTTAACCTGCATTTGGGTGAGGCAAAGACATAAAGTGTAACTATAATGTTTGTACCCTCACAAAACCCTGGAATAATAAATAAAAAAAAAAAATCACCAGTAATTTATCTGGTTTACAACTATAAGCTTATGAATATAAAATCATTAAGATACATTTTTAGAAAACGAATGGCAATAATGTAAATTATGTAAACACAAGTCTTGACTAAAAGAACAGCTCAAAGACCACATTTGGTAAATCTTCCTTAAAGGTAAAACGTCTGCCATATTAATTAATCTGTTTTAAAAGCATCCTGTAACTGAGAGCAATGGGCTAGTCTCTGAGACTTACACTAGATGGTAAGAGAAATAACATATCAAAAGAAGTTTTATTAATGAAATACTTTAAGGAGGGGGAAAAAACATTCCAGCCAAAAAGTGGAAGATTTTACTTTCACAAATATTTTCCATTTGTGCATTGACAATTATTCCCTAAGCAATTCAATTAAAAAATGAAGAAAAAT